CAGCCTCCTGAGTAGCTGGAATTACGGGCGTGCACCACCACGCCGGGCTAATTTTTTGTAAAGACGGTTGCACCGTGTTGGCCAGGCTGGTCTCAAACTCCTGACATCAAGTGATCTGCACACCTTGGCCTCCCAAAGTGCTGGGATTATAGGCGTGAGCCACTGCACCTGGTCATGGCCACGAGTTTCTGAAGTAAGAGAAGTCCAGCAGTCCGTGTCAGCAGTGCAGACCTGAACCCGGGGGCCCAGCAGCAACAGCTTAAAAACCTGTGTCTGCACTGACAGCACCCCGCTCCCACCAGTGTCCCGGGAAGTTGGGGTGCTGGTGGCCTGGTCGTGGTCGTGTGATCTCCAACAGAGGGACCCTGCAGCTTTGTGTGCGTCTGTGTGTGTTTTAGTTTGAACCTTGCCATCTCTGTATAGGGTCTGTTGCCTTATGGAATCCTAGAAATCCATTTCCCTAGACTTCACGTGTTGTCCTTGCCCGGTGGAAACCGAGATTCCCTTTGCCTAACTGACTTTAAAAGCAGAATTGGTGAGCCTCTGGCAGTGGCCACAGTTGTGCAGGGCCCTGCCTTTGTCTGGAGGCAGCATGGCTTATGCTCTTCGTGTTTCTGCTGGGGATAGGTGTTTTAGACAGTGGGCAGCAACAGTGCCTGGCCCGCATGAAGATGCCGAGGCTGCAGGAGGCCAGGGCCGTGGTTTGACAGGCGGGTGGGGGCACACCCATGCCACCATCTCAGGATGTGTGCTGGCGAGTGCCCCCATGTCCACGCGCTTGCTCACGGCTGTGTCATTCGCAGGACTGCCCACAGCCGAGGGCAGAGGATGCCCAGTCTCCTCACTCCCTGTGCTGGGGGGCGGGCCACACCTGGCAGCGGCAGTGAGGTGGGAGACAGCCTGGAGGGCCTTGGCTTCTCGCTGCTTCTAGGCTGGTTGGGATATGTGGATGCACCCACCCATCCGTCCCAGCAAGCAATGGAGCCTGCAGAGGGGTCTGGGTAGATGTGGGTGCCAGCTGGGCTTGCAGGGGGGCTGGAGGGGGTGAGGGGGTGGCATCTGCCCGCTGCTGTGTTTCCAGATGGGGCAGTCTGTTCCAGGGCTGGGGTTTCTGGAATTTCCTCTGTGGGACCAACAGTGGTTTTCAGTACATTCAGGATGGCGCTGACCTGCTGGGCAGAGAAGGGCACCGGACTCGGTGGATTTGGGTGTTGGCCAGAGCATTGTGTAAGCCCAACTTAACACCTCCCTTTTGCTTTGAGTGTTCCTGAGGGAGGAAGCCTGCCTCTGGGGCCCGCCCCGAGGTGTCCCTGGCCTGGCTTTGACAGTCAGTAGGATGCACAAGCTGACTTGGAAGCAACTCCATTTCGGTCTCAAGATGGGGACACAATTTGGCCCTCCACCCCCGACCTTGTTATCTGGCCTCTCTGCTCCTCTTGGCTGATGGACTTGAGACCAGAAGGGAGTTCTCTTGGCCAGGAGTGCTCCCACCTGAGAGTGGAGGCCCCGCCCCTCCCCCTACACCCAGGGCCACAGCCAGCCCATTGCGCCACCGCCACTCATTTCTCAATTGAGCATGTGGGGGCACTGCTTGGCCTGCAGCCCCCAACGCCAGTGAAGACCCTGCCTCAGATGTGCTTGTTTGCTGTAGGTGCTTTTAAAATGCTGAATCTGGCTGGATGCGGTAGCTCATGCCTGTTAATCCCAGAACTTTGGGAGGCCAAGGCAAACGGAACACTTGAGCCCAGAAGATCGAGACCAGCCGGAGCAACATGGCTAAACCCCATCTGTACAAAACAATTTTTTTAAATTAGCCATGCAGCCAGGCGTGGTGGCACACACCTGTAGTCCCAGCTACTCGGAGGCAGAGGTGGGAAGATCGCTTGAACCCGAGAGGTCGAGGCTGCAATAAGCAGAGATCACACCACTGCACTCCTACCTGGTGACAGAGCAGGAACCTGTCTCAAAAATAAAAACTGTTGAATCCTGCCTAGAAGTAACAGCTGGCCTCTCCCTCACCTCTCCTCTCAGACCAAATGGAAAAACTCCACCGAGGACTTTAGAAGGAAACCCCTCTTTTCCCCACAGAAGCTGCCTGTGCAGTCTTACAGTAACAGCTCATCAGTTCACCCCTGGCAAGGCAGCCACGACACTGGCACACAGTCACAGGCGGCTTGGCAGCAACCCAAGTTTAGGAGGCTCTTGTCCCACCCACAGCGAACTGATTTCTCCCCAGTGCATGCAGTTTAATTAGGGCCTATGATTGAATTAGGAGGCTTTGCCTTAGCCCAGCTTCGTTACAGTGACTTTTTCAGGATAAAGAGTTCCCTTTGCCCAGGTCCAAGCCAGTGCCTTTTATGAAAGTGGTGCCCACCCAGGGGGTAGGGCCCCCATGTTTGGGGGCACAGTCAGCCCATTACTAATGACTTTCCTCTTTAATGTGGCCACATAAGATCGTTCACCAGTTGTTCATCCAACCAGCATGAAACCCTGCCTGTTAGGTTTGCTTATTTGTTTGCTGAAAGCTTGGAGCTGGGAGGAGTCTCAGTAGTAGGAAGGACCGTGATTGCCTGTTCTTTTTCCTTGAAGTCTGCCCTGACAGTCCTATTTCCACCATCCTTCACTTAGAATTGCTCCCATCTTTGAAGGAGGCTGGAGGGAGTTACCTTCATGCTGGGCTGAGGGTGGCTCGTTATGAATGTCTTCACTCGTCGCTCCCATGTTATGGCCGATGGCCGGGTGGCTCAGCTCCCCATGATTTTCCTCTGCACGGCAGCCAGGTGTGCGTGCCAGGACAGGCCGGGCGGACGGGACCTTCGCGTCTCTGCACACTGAGGGCTGTGCTTCTCGTTGGCCCCTAAAGGAAGCTAGTTCCTGTCAGAGCCTCAGGCAGATGGGCCACACTGACCCTTGTGTGGCCTCGTACATTGTTCCAGAGCCTCCCAGTGGGAGGGGCATGGACTCCAGCAGGGGAGCAGTGACCAGCAGGTCCCTAGAGCCTCGTGTCCTTTAGTCAGATGAGGTTGACCATCCTGGGGACCAGGGTGTGCTGAGGGAAGGGGCAGCTTTGCACTGAGGAACATGGCTCTGCACAGCCGTAGGAGCCATGAGTTGGAAAACTTGATCCAGCCTCAAGAGCTGTGTGTAGCAGTGTCCCTGTCAGGGCTCAGATAAAGACTTCTCGCGGATGAGCAGATAATGGATGCAGAGTGGCGTTGCGGAGATACAGAAAGATCTGTCTCAGCTGGCCGGGCGCGGTGGCTTAAGCCTGAAATCCCAGGACTTTGGGAGGCCGAGGCGGGCGGATCACGAGGTGAGGAGATCGAGACCATCCTGGCTAACACGGTGAAACCCCGTCTCTACTAAAAAATACAAAAAAACTAGCCGGGCGAGGTGGCAGGTGCCTGTAGTCCCAGCTACTCGGGAGGCTGAGGCAGGAGAATGGCGTAAACCCGGGAGGCGGAGCCTGCAGTGAGCCGAGATCCGGCCACCACACTCCAGCCTGGGCGACAGAGCGAGACTCCGTCTCAAAAAAAAAAAGATCTGTCTCAGCTGAAACCAGCCAAGGAAAAATAACAAGGCGTGGGTAGCCCTGTATTCAGGCCTGCCCGCCACAGGTGAAGAAGATTCTGCTTTGGGTGGGAAATTTGGATTGCAAGGCCTGAAACCAAGAAAACGCCAGACTGCCTAAAATGCAGCTTGGCGCACGGTCACTGCTGGGGCTGCCGCCGGGCTGCTGTCTGGCCTTGCTGCAGAGCTGCGCCTTCCATGTGCTGGATCTGCTACTGCTTGGGGTCATGGCATGCACCCCGGTCCCAGGGGGAAAGCCCCTTGTGTGGTCTCTGTGGCTGTGTTTCTGATGCAAATGAGTGGCATTTGCCGGTGGGGCAGGGGCCTGGGCCTGCAGGGCCGGAATCGGTGGCATTGCTGGCTGGATGTTTTGAAGCCCCTCAGTTGACCCTCCTGCCCGCTACATTTGGGGACCGCTGCTGTCCTTGAAGTGTCGTCTTTTCCTAATTCAGGGAAAGGGTCGCTTTTCCTATGCAGTGGGCCAGTGTCCTGGGTCTCCTGTTCTACCCTCCGCGGTGGGGAGGAGCAGGAGGCCGCTGCCATCCAGGAAGGGCACCCAGGGCTCGTGCAGCCTGGCCTCCCAGGAGAGCCAAAGGAGTTTGGATTTCACCCAAGGCAGAGCTCTTCCATTGTGCCTCTGTTCTGTGGGCCCAGGATGACTACTTAGGAACCGTGTGGAGGGCAAGGGCTTAGCATGATCTGTCCTGAGGCCTGTGGTTTGCAGTGAGAATCCTCCTGCAGTTGCCCTGATTAAGAGCGGCTCTCAGGCTGTCGGCCTCGTGCTGCCGTGTGCGCCCATGTGACTGTGCGAATCCTTCTTTCCCCTTTAGGCTCCTTTGCTGACTCAGATCAGTTGGTCCACAGCCTTAGGCTAACCACCAGGCCTGCGTTTGTTCTTTTAAACATCGAGGTACTCCTTTTCCTGCCTTTTTTTTTTTTTTTTTTTTTTTTGAGACGGAGTCTCGTCCTGTCACCCAGGCTGCAGTGCAATGGCACGATCTCGGCTCACTGCAACCTCTGCCTCCCAGGTTCAAATGATTCTCCTGCCTCAGCCTCCCGAGTAGATAACGGGGATTATAGGCATGCGCCACCACACCTGGCTAATTTTTTGTATCTTTAGTAGACACAGGGTTTCACCATATTGGCCAGGCTGGTCTTGAACTCCTGACCTCATGATTCACCCACCCCGGCCTCCCAAAGTGCTAGGATTACAGGTGTGAGCCACTGCGCCCAGGCTTATTTCACTATTTCAGGAAAAGTACTTTTTACTGATTGTCTTGTGTTGGGATCTGAAGGAGATAAGGACCTCAGGGAGATGTGCTCTCCGCAGTGCAGGCTCAGACCTCCCCCAGCATCGAAACACAGTTAAGTGCTGCTCAGCCTAATCATCCTCTCTCTCTCTCTCCCTCTCCTGCCCCCTCCGTCAAAAGGGTGAGCTTGTCGGCCACAGACTGCTACATTGTCCACGAGATCTACAATGGGGAGAATGCCCAGGACCAGTTTGAGTACGAGCTGGAGCAGGCCCTGGAAGCCCAGTACAAGTACATTGTGATTGAGCCCACGCGCATCGGCGACGAGACGGCCCGCTGGATCACCGTGGGCAACTGCCTGCACAAGACGGCCGTGCTGGCGGGCACCGCCTGCCTCTTCACCCCGTTGGCGCTGCCCTTAGATTATTCCCACTACATCTCCCTGCCCGCTGGTGTGCTGAGCCTGGCCTGCTGCACCCTCTATGGGATCTCCTGGCAGTTTGACCCTTGCTGCAAGTACCAAGTGGAGTACGACGCCTATAAACTGTCGCGCCTGCCTCTGCACACACTCACCTCCTCCACCCCAGTGGTGCTGGTCCGGAAGGACGACCTGCACAGAAAGAGACTGCACAACACGATAGCACTGGCCGCCCTGGTGTACTGTGTAAAGAAGATTTACGAACTCTATGCCGTATGATCTCAGTAGAACAGGGAGCGAAGCAAAAACCGCCTGGCCCACAAGAGACAACAGAGTCTTCAGATCGCCACAGTCACGTTTCTCACTCTGTGAGGCGGCAGAGCCTGGGAAGGTGTTTGGCTTAATATTTGTTATTTTTAAAAAATAACAGATCATGGGTGTCCCCAGGGTTTTTCAGCTCATTACACTAAGATGTGGATTTCCATAACCCAAGAAGGGGGGTCTGAGGCTGTGGAAGTCCGATGGGGCAGTGGAACGCTGATGGAGGCAGACGCTGCTGAGGGGGTGTGGACGTGCTTTGGGGGAGGTCTTTAAGTCTATTGTTTAACTGTACCATCCAGAGCCCACCAGAAGCTATTGACCATTAAAATTATGAGAATTTCAACTCCCGCTGTTCTCTCTTTCCATGTCTGCCTGCAGCTGCTGCTGCACATCCGCCCTAGGTGGCGGCTTGTACGTGGAAGCAGCAGGTGCTGTGGTAGCCACCCTGCCCTGTTCTTAGCTGCGGCCCAGTGTTACCAGTTACAGCGACGACCAGCCTAGATCCGAGGTAGTCCTGGGCCCAAACCCCACGCAGGAGCAGTCTCCTGGCTCGCGTTGGCCTCATCATTCCGAAGGCCAGCACTGCTACCATGCTATTCAGGAACATGGTAGGATAAGGTGATGAGGCTTGGAGGCCTTTGGGTCTTCACTTGGGTTCACGTGGGGAACTCTGGGCTCTAGGATCCCTCTTCAGAGATCTGAACACTGTGTTTTCTTTGAAGCACCGAAACTCTTCCTGCTGTGGACCCTGAGTTTATCAACCCATTGCCTTTGGCTGACAGAAAAGCCCTCAGAGCGATCTTGGAAGCAGCCCCTGGCCGCAGTGCTCCCTGTTCCACAGGAGCCAAGCCAGTGCTCCTCCCTCACACCGAAGGGTAGACTGCATCACCTGCCACGTTTCCTCTAAGGCAGGGGTGGCCAATCTTGACTTCCCTGCGCCACATGGGAAAGAGAATTGTCTTGGACCACACATAAAATACGCTAACACTAATGATAGCTGATGAGCTTTAAAAAAAAAAAAAAAAAATTACAAAAAAATAATGTTTTAAGAAAGTTTACAAATTTGTGTTGGGCCACATTCAAAGCCGTCCTGGGCTTCATGAGGCTTCATGTGGTTGGTGATTGGACAAGCTTACTCTAAGGCCTTGGGTAAATGGGAAATTATCGCTTCCACAAAAAGGCTAGGGCCCCTGTCTTCACTTCTGCCTTCCTAAAGCCCATTCATCCCTGAAGAGCCACGTGGCACCTCCTTCTGAAGGCCAATCATTTTTTTTTCTTTTTTCTTTTCTTTTTTTTGAGACAAAGTCTTGCTCTGTCACCCAGGATGGAGTGCAGTGGCGTGACCTCGGCTCGCTGCAACCTCTACCTCCTGAGTTGAAGTGATTCTCCTGCCTCAGGCCCGAGTAGCTGAGACTACAGGCGTGTGCTACCATGTCCGGATAATTTTGGTTACTTTTAGTATAGACGGGATTTTGCCGTGCTGGCCAGGCTGGTCTCTAACTCCTGGCCTCAAGTGATCTGCCTGCCTCGGCCTCCCAAAGTGTCGGGATTACAGGCGTGAGCTGCCGTGCCTGGCCAGGCCAATCTTTAAGAGATAGCCAAAGTGGTTTCTCACCTAGTTTTAAACGCTCCATCAGGAAGACCTGATGTCACAGAGTCATGGAGGGGTGCGTGGGAAGGCTTCACAAGGGGTGATTGGGCCATTTTTTGTAGGGGAGATCGAGAGCTTTTAAAGATTTTTAAAAGGGACCCATGGCCCACAGAAAGTTTAAGAAATTTTGATTTAATTCCAAGAGATTTAGAAATACTTATCACTCAGTTGAGTGCTGGGGGCACGACGGTGTTGAGTGTGCACCATTGTTTACGTGGCAGTCTCTAGGCACCTGGAATAATGGTAAAGAGGGAACTGCCTTAGCCACACAACTGATCCCGGAAAAACATGCCTCATCTCGACGGCAGTGTGAGTTGAAATGCAGCTGCCCGTGACCCCTCAGGTGTCTGAGTGCTGGCATCTGAGCCTGCTGGGCAGGTTTTTTTTTTTATTTTTATTTTTTTATATAATGCCCAGATTTGGAAAGGGAGCCCCATGCCTGGCCTGAAAGTGCTCTGCCGACAAGTTAGATTTCATGGGGGAGTTGACTGGAAGGCACAAGCTGGACAAGCCAGACAAGTTGAGGCAACCTCAAGTCAGCTGAGCAGAAGCCCTCGCCCGAAGTAGAAGCCGGGCGCAAACGGGTAGCTCTTCCACCGTTTCCCAAGCTGCACTGAGCCAAGTGATTCTTGTTGGATGTATTAACCCAGGTTCTGAAATACCGTATTAGTTACATGACCCCTGACCAGGGAGATGGGGATGAGGTGCTGGTGTGGACAGCAGGCAATGGTTTCATGTGCCTGAGGCTGGCAGCGAGAAGCAGAGGTGCGCCTCCCTCCCCACTGTCAGTGCTGACTTCTCTGTTCCTGCCTTTGTCCTGCCTAGAGGATCAGTCACGGCAGAGCTGCTGACAAGTTGCTTATGGTCATCTGTGATATGCGACAGTACTTCTGAAGAAATAGCATTCGAAGGCTGAGTGCAGTAGCTCATGCCTGTAATCCCGGCACATTGGGAGGCTGAGGGAGGAGGACCATTAAATACTTGAGTCCAGGAGTTCAAGACCAGTCTGGGCAACATAGCAAGACCTGTCTCTACAAAAAAAAAGACGAAAATTAGCCAGATGTGGTGGTACGCAAATGTGGTCCCAGCTACTCAGGAGTCGGAGGAGGATCACTCAAGCCTCAGAGGTTGAGGATGCAGTGAGCTGTGATCTTGCCACTGCACTCCAGCCTGGGCGACAGAGTGTGACCCTGTCTCCAAAAATTAATTATTTTTTTTCTTGAGATGGAGTCTCTCTGTCGCCCAGGCTACAGTGCAATGGCGCGATCTCGGCTCACTGCAGCCTCTGTCTCCTGGGTTCAAGCAATTCTCCTGCCTCAGCCTCCCGAGTGAGCTGAGATTACAGGTTGCCACGACTGGCTAATTTTTTGTCTTTTTAGTAGAGATGGGGTTTCACCATACTGGCCAGGCTGGTCTTGAACTCCTGGCCTCAGGTGATCCATCTGCCTCAGCCTCCCAAAGTGCTGGGATTACAGACACGAGCTGCTGCGCCCGGCCAATTTTTTTTTTCTTTTTTTTAAACAGCATTCAGTAACTGCTGAGAGAAAGCAAAGGCCAGGTTACCGGGGCCCTCCTGTGCAAAATCCACTTAAATGAGTCCTACATGGACCACTTTAGGGAATAGAGTGTGTCATTAATCTAGTAAATTAGTTTTAGCTACCCATCCCCACCCAATTTCAGAGAAGAGTGAAGAGCTGTTATGTAAAAGGACAACTGATCAAACTGGATCTCCTCGTTCTGGTCTCTTAGCTCCCTCCAGAGTTTTCACATCTGCTGCAGCCGCTGCTGGGCCCTGAGGGAAGGAAGGGAGACTTGCTGGGAGGTGGGCAGGGCGCCCAGGGCTGTGCACTATTTCTTCGATTCACTCATCAGCTACGGCCCCTCTGCCCTGCATGGAGGCGCTGCTGTTTGGAAAAGCTAATTGGTTTTATTTTTCCGTCTCTGGTTTTGGCATGATGTGAAACACCAAGGGGCTTAAAGAGCAAAGTGGAAAGTGTCTTTGAACTTCATCAGATATCTGAAGGCAGAACCAATGAAAAATCATGCTTTTCAGACCTCCCCAGCAGAATTTCAGGATGAAAGAGCAGGAGGCAAAAACCCTCTAAAGACAGAAGAGAGAAAGTGGAACGGCAGCATCGCCAACCCTGCTGGCAACGTCCATGTTCAAACACTGATGTGAAAATCCAAGAGCAATGAAGGTTGCTCAAAGGCCATCAGCTGAACCCGGGCTGTGGCTGGGCTTCTTGCTTTGGAGCAGTGCACGTGGGGCCCACCCACAGGAAGGTGCTTCAGCTGCTAAGTTGGGAGAATTCTAAAGGCTCAGTAAGTCCCACATTATCCAAACCACGGCTGTCTCCAGGAAGGGACACTGAACTCCAGCGACCCAAGACAACATGGACATGAAAGAGCACAGCTGCAGGCCCTTTTAGTCCTCAGCCTCTGAGGCCAAGAAGAGCGTCTGTCTGGTGTTGGTGCGACTTTAACAGGTCCCCTCTGGGACTCGCCAACCTCCTCCTCGAGAACAGTGGGCCTCGGACTCTGCCTTTGGCAAACAGCTTTATTTAGCTAGATTTTAACAATTCTTCAGTTCGTGTTATAGTTTATATGGCAAAACATAAAGTTTATAAAGTTAAGTTTTAGAACGTGATTTGACGTTTTTAGAATGTTGGATAAGTAAACAATAATATTGAGATCTGGCTGGTCTAGCACGTCAATCGCCAGTTGCTAACCACTTTAATTGGGAGGAAATAAACTTTAGAAATGAACTGGACCTACTCAGTAAGCCTCAACCATGTATTTTTAATAAATTAGAAAGGTGGTAGCTGGGCATGGTGGCGCACACCTATAATCCCAGCTACTCGGGAGGCTGAGGCAGGAGAATCACTTGAAGGTGAGTCACAGGAGGTGGCGGTTGCAGTGAGCTGAGATCATGCCATTGTACTTCAGCCTGGGCGACAAGAGCGAAACTCCATTTCAGAAAAGAGGCCGGGCATGGTGGCTCATGCCTGTAATCCCAGCACTTTGGGAGGCCGAGGCGAGTGGATCACGAGGTCAGGAGATCGAGACCATCCTGGCTAATATGGTGAGACCCTGTCTCTACTAAAAATACAAAAGAATTAGCCGGGCATGGTGGCAGGCGCCTGTAGTCCCAGCTACTCAGGAGGCTGAGGCAGGAGAATGGCGTGAACCCGGGAGGTGGAGCTTGCAGTGAGCAGAGATCATGCCACTGCACTCCAGCCTGGGCAACAGAGCGAGACTCTGTCTCAAAAAAAAAAAAAAAAGAAAAAAGAAAAAGAGGCCAGGCACAGTGGCTCAACGCCTATAATCCCAACACTTTGGGAGGCCGAGGCCATCTCAAAAAAAAACCAAAAAAGAAAAAAACAACATGAAAGCAGGTGTTCGTTCTGGCTGCAATCCAACCACTTACAACTAACAGGTGGTATGTAGGTTAAGAAATATTTAATGCCAGCCCAAGCTCCATGCACCCCAACTGTGAGTCAGGTCACAATGGCCCCAAAACCAACAACCTCAACAATGACGTTCCTGTCTTCTGATGATAGAGTACACAGTTGCTAAACTTGCATTCCTTTGAGGGCAGCCTATCACATCAACCTCCAGTTGCTGACCATGTTATATAATGGAGAGGAAAGGACAGCACCTGGACACCAGGTGCCTCTGAGCGTGGCAGCCAACAGCGTCCAAGGAGAAACGTCCTCTCGTTTCCATCTAGAGGGACAGCGACCTTCATTGCTGCCATTTCCTGGAAACCTGCTGTGTGCTCGGCACTTTCATTCAACCTTAGACTCGGGCTGAGCTTTAGACAGGTGCTGCTGCTGTCTGAGTTCCAGCTCTGGCCTGAGTCTACTGTCTCCAGCTTGAACACTAAGGAGACCCTTTTCTTCCATGTCAGGAGGGAGGCTGACAATTTACCTGGAAAATGAAGACAGACCCATCATGTTTGTATGCACATTTTACCCAGAGGCTCCTGGAACGTCCAGGAAGCGTTAGGAGCTGGGACGTCACCAGATCTAATCACCCATTTGTCCTCCTACTCCCAGGAAACCTGAAACCCTCTGACACCCTAACCAAAGGCTGGCTGTGGCCATTTTTATCATCTGTCTAGGGCAGCTGTTTAAAATACAAGCTCAGGCCAGGCGCGGTGGCTCACGCCTGTCATCCCAGCACTTTGGGAGGCCGAGGCAGGCAGATCATGAGGTCAAGAGATCGAGGCCAGCCTGGCCAACGTGGTGAAACCCCACCTCTACTAAAAATACAAAAATTAGCTGGGTGTGGTGGCATGTGCCTGTAGTCCCAGCTACTTGGGAGGCCGAGGCAGGAGAATCACTTGAACCCGGGAGGCGGAGGTTGCAGTGAGCCGAGATTGCGCCACTGCACTCCAGCCTGGGTGACTGAGCGAGACTCCCCCTAAAAAAAAAAAAAAAAAAAAAAAATGTTGCCGCCAATGTTATATAATGGTCATAAAATATAGGCTCAACAAGGCCAGAGTTGGGACATGGTGCAAGATGTCAGTATGATATGATAGGAGATTTGTAATCCAATCTGGGGAAGTCTGCAGTGGACCTACATTTCAATTTTCAGTTTCAATAACAGGAAAAGTTTCTTCCTAAACACTAGAAGTGAACTTGACCTACTCAGTGAGCCTCAACCATGTATTTTTACTAAATGAAAAAGGCAGAAACAGGCATTCTTTCTGGCTATGATCCAACTAGTTACAGCTAACAAAGGCTCACTTCCACCAGACCAGGGGCTGCTGTAGAATCTGCCCAGCTGGCCAATTTGATGGTTTCACTTCTAGAGGGATGCACGGGGCCATGTAGCATCCTCCTCTCCCTTTTGGCTGCTCTCTCTTTAGTAAGGTCACCTTCTGCTTGGAGTGGTGCCTGGCATCCTACAGGGAGGCAATGAGAGTTAAGAGAGAAGCAGGAATTCCTATGAGGTGCTAAAGCCATCCCTTGGGATACGCCAAATAAGCCATTACATACTGGCCCACTTTTTATGTTGGATGAGATATCACAGGGCCCGGAAATGGGTGTGACTACTGACTTCTTGAAACTACAGCTTTCTCCCTTGAGTACTGGAGGTGGTCTTTCTGCCCAAACAATTAGGTTTAAGTCAAATACAAAAACAGCTGGGTCAGGTGACATCACATCTTCTGATTCCAAGGTTGAAACAATTTCTAGGAGCTGGCAGGGCCAGAATTCAAAGGACACAAGGTTCTAGTCCTTGAAGACTACAACTCTTACTGTTTGAGATGTTTATTTCTTAGTTTTAGGGTTAAACCCCAGCTCCACGTTTACTCCTGAAGTGTTTCCCCTCACCCTGGGAAGAAGCTTGCTGCCGTTTTTGGTTCTCTTCCTCTGCCAGCAGATCTGCGTGAGACGTGTTTCTTCAATCTTTCCCATTTGTGAGACAAATCGCCATTAAAGTCTCAACAAATACAACTGTCCCTTGTAGAGGAACCAAGCCTAAGAGCGCTGCTTCTCTGCCCTGGCTCTGGCTGGTTGGAGTACTAGCAGTTCTTGGATTTCCGCTCTTTTCTGGCCCTGGAGGCCATGAGGCTGAAGAAGAGCCCAGGAGCCAGAGTTCGAAGATAAATGGCCAAGGAAGGCAGTAAGTCAGCCAGGATCACATCTTTCTTCTTCTTCCCCACAGCAGCAAGAACATCGTGGGCCACCTCCACGGGGCTTCGGCCCTGGGCTGTGGTGGTATCCATAACTAAAATAAATAAAACAAAAGAAACACATGAACTAACTTGGAAGCAGAGGTCCCTCTTGAGGAGTGGAGCTGATGTGAGCCGTCAGGTCAGCCTGCTGCCTTTCCCACCACGAAGCTCTTCCCAGGGCCAGGAAGCCGGTGGTGTGCCACCACCCCTGAGGATTCCATGCTCCCAGGAAAGGAGGAACCATTTTGCAGCTGGATGTGGGTCAGTGGGGGAAGCGAGAGTGGGGTGGGATGTGGAAACAAGGTAGACTGAGGATCCCAGCTAGGGCTTGGAACCAAAGTGAGTCTGTCTGCCTGGTGGTCCACAGCAAAGGCACAGAGTGAGCCCCTCCCACTGTATCTGAAAAGCAGCTTCCTGACCTGGGAAACGTGTGCCTGTTAGAACAACTAAAGACTAAAGGATGTTGTGCCACCTCATTTGTCTTGGGTAGCCTGGCTTCAGGGTGGCCAGACAGAGGTGGCTGGGGACTACTGACGCCCACAGGCACAAGCTCACTGAGTCAGGAGCAGACACCTGTCCCTGTTCTCGATGTCAAGTACTAACTGGATGAGAAACAGGAAGAAATCCTTAGTTTGTTTTAGGTGTTAGAAGGGACAGCTGGAAGAGATTAGAAGGAGGTGTTAGGTTAACAGCAACTGATGTTCCTTCTACCCTAGTAATTTGACAGTGTTGCCAGCAAAATAGGACCAGCTGGCAGGCACACAGGAGCGGCCACTAGCACAGACCATGTGAAACCACTTTTTTTTTTTTTTGAGACAGGGTTTCGCTCTGTTGCCTAGGCTGGAGTGCAGTGGCACAATCATGGCTTACTGCAGCCTCGACCTCCTGGGCTCAAGCAATCCTCCTGCCTGACTCAGCCTCCTGAGTAGCTGGACTACAGGCGGTGCCACCATGGTTGGCTAATTTTCATATTTTTTGTGGAGGCAAGGTCTTGCACTATTGCCCAGACTGGTCTCAAACTCCTAGGCTGAAGTGATCCTCCTGACTTGACCTCCCAAAGTGTTGAGATTACAGGTGTGGGCCACAGTGCCTAGCCATAGGAAACCACTACTAAGTTGTCCAGCTTGCCTGAGCTCCCTCACCAATGTCTGTTCTCATTGTGTTTTTGTTAATGCAGAAAAGCAGGAAGTTTTGGATTACAGCTTATTTTGAAATGCCACAGAGAGAAGTTTTTCAGTGGCGTCTCCTCGGTTTAAACAGGTGTAAAGCTGTATGGAGCCCCATGCCTGTGTATAGTGTCTACGGTGGGAAAACAGGACTCGCTGTGTGAGCGCAGCTCTGCCAGGACATGGGCAGTCTTGGTTCAGGCCTGGCTGGGCTGGGTGCAGGACCGTGAGGCCCCTGGCAGACATCACAGCACAAACCCCAAGAGATCACTTCAGGGAGGAGGACATGGCAGGACAGCACTGGAGGGGTGAGCAGGCCCTGTTCCAAGCAAGGGGAGGCAGCCCCAGCTCCAAGGGCTCCAGTGATCACGGGCACACTGGTCTCTGCTTGGCCTGAGCCTGCATGCTGGGGCCAGCTGCTCTGCCCGCGAGTGGTGACTGCAGGTCAGCTCTGCACTGTCTCCAAATGAGACAAGATGAAGGTGCTGAGACTGCTGCACTGGGCCTCACCCTGAAGACTGGCCCGGAATCAGTCATTTCCCAAGCCTACGGGACAGAGACAGACCATCAAACACCCGACACTTGCCATGAGGTCAGTTCACTCAATCCCAACGCTGATAATACTCCTTGGACTCGGGATCTGCGAACGGGTTAGTTGGGAGTCTGGTGGCATCCCAGCTTGGCAACTTCCTTTTAGTCCTTGAGTCCTGCCCACAGAGGTCCTGTTCTGAACGCTGCAATGGTGACGTTCACACTAAGGGTAGGCCATGGTGGGGTAAACGAAGATGATTCAATAGTCCATATCTAGAACCAACACCTCAGTTTTCTCACTTTAGAAGTTCTATTCCAAATGAAAATGACCAAAGAATCCCTGACGTAAGAACCGCATGTCTCACTGTGGCTGACCGACAGAGTTTCATAGGAGAAAAGAGAAACCGGGCCTCACCTCCATACCTAGATCCATCCGCGGTGATGGCATTGACAGAGAGGTTGGTGTGGATGTAGCCCGGGCTGATGACGGTCACCTCAATTTCATACTGTTCCATCTCGGCGCGCAGACAGTCAAAGAAAGCCTGGGTTGCATGTTTGGAGGCTGCGTCTACACGTGTGGACGGAGAGGCAGGGGAGTGAGTGCGCCGGGGTGGGCATGGCCTGGTACCCAACTATTCACCACCATTCACGCTCTCTGTTTTCAAAACCTGGTTTTACTTGTGATCAGGTCTTGCTATGTTGCCTAGGCTGGACTCCAACTCCTGAGCTCATGTGATCCTCCCGCCTCAGCTGGGACTGCAGCTTTAAAACCTGGTTTTATAATTTAAGATTACAGTATTAAAACAATGTTCATTTCCTGACTTTGAGAAGTGTACTGTGCCCTTGTTCTTAGGAAACACACTGAAATAGGAGTAAACGAGCATCATGTCTCCAGTTTCCTTTCAAATGGTTCAGGAAAAAAATTATAAGCTATACATACATATAGTTTTATATATATTATAAATGGTATATATGCATATACACAGGGAATATGATAAAGGACATAAGGTAAAAAGGTTATTAGGGGATCTGCATGAAGCGTGCATGGGAGTGATTTGTGCTGTTCCTGCAACTTTAAGTCTGAAGTTATTCCAAGTTAAAAGTTAAAAAAAAAAAAAAAACAAACTGAATGCCTACTGGGTAAAACATTCAAACGGTATATAAAAGGACAGAAAGTAAAAAAAAAAAAAAAAAACAGACAGTCCTCCTGTCTTCCAAATTCCATTCCTAGAGATAATCAGTGCTAACAGTTTCCCAGGATTTTTGTTTAATTCTGTTTTGTGTTTTTAGAGAAGACATCTTCTCTGTTACCCAGGCTGGAGAAGAGCTATGATCATAGGATTACAGCTCTTTGCAGCCTCGACCTCCTGGCCTCAAGCAATCCTCCCACCTCACCCTCCCAGAGCGATGGGATTATAGGAGTAAGCAGCCATGCCCAGTGATTTATTTTTTTAATATATCCTATGTATAGCCATGTGATTTTACACATTTCACATAAAATATATATATATACATCTTTTAATACAGAAATGAACTCTTACCTATTCTACTGTTCCTGCAAGTAGCTTTCTTCACCTGGTGGCAGGCTGGACAGCTCCCATGCTGGCCCCGCAGACCTGCCATGTAGCTCTGGCTGCCTAGTCCTCCCCAGTGAGTTACCAGGTGACAGAATTGGCCCCATCAGTGGGCCTTCATGGGTGTAAAAAATTCAGGCCTGCCTTCTTATGTATCTCATTTTGACAAATATCCAGGCAGTGGCTTTTCATCTAGAAGAGCTACAGAGCTTACTCCACCTGCAAGAAACACCTGTGTCTGCCCTCGCGCAAGGGCTTCACAACCCAGTAAAAGGTGCTCTGAATGGGAACACAGTGACCCTATAATGACATTCCTGGGAAACATACCAGCGTCTCCACAGTAAATCAGTTTCCTCCAATTCAGAATTGTAAATGTTTTAGCCTTAGGAAAGAAGGGGCATCCGTCAGCTAAGGAAACAGGAAGGGAGAAAGCAAGGAAGTGTCGCGGCAAGTCACATGAGGCAGTTCAGTAGCGTCTGAGCTTGCTGCAGTGCCTTGCTGGGCCTGCTCTGTTGGTTTGGGGCACGGTTGCTGGGGGGGTGGATGGATTGGCTGTGGGTGGATGGAGAAGACTGCCCCTATCAGCCATGATTCCAAGAGTACAGCCCAGGCTTGGGGACAGGGAAGAGTGGGTTATCCTGTAAGTCCCCAAAATAGAAGGCTACACTCTGACAGCTGGTTCTCCCCAGAGCTCTCAGGCTGTGAGTTCTCAGCCAGGCTGTGCTGACCTCGCCACTGTCCACATCACTTACCCTGCCAGTGTGCGGCCCAGTACTAAGCACACTGCGTGGATCACGTGACTTGTAGCCGTGTGAGAGAGAGAATGCCGTTCTCCCCATTTTATAGGTGAGAAGGCTGCTACTTATCTGGGTTAACCAACTTGCCCAAGAGGCACTCCATATTCAGCCTGGTCATTATAAAGCTGAATATGGAGACCAATCATTGTACGCCTTACTGCAGTCAGCAGGCCAAACAGACAACAAAATCAGTGGTATTATTATAAATCAAAGTAAAACTTGAAAACAATTTAGTATAAAGAACTCCAGCTGGGCGCAGTGGCTCACGCCTATAATCCCAGCACTTTGGGAGGCTGAGGTGGGTGGATCACTTGAGGTCAGGAGTTTGAGATCAGCCTGGCCAACACGTGAAACCCTGTCTCTACCAGTAATACAAAAGCTAGCCAGGTGTGGTGGCACGTGCCTGTAATCCCAGCTACTCAGGAGGCTGAGGCAGGAGAATCACTTGAACCCGGGAGGCGGAGGTTGCAGTGAGCCGAGATTGCACCACTGCATTCCAGCCTGGGCAACAAGAGTGAAACTCTGTCTCAAAAACAAAACAAAACAAAACAAACAAACCCTTTACCCTGATTTACCCATTCTTAACATTTTAACTCGTTTGCTTTATTAGTTATGATTCTATATATACTATTTTTTTTCCTGCACCATTTGAGAAGCCTTAGATGGTGTCCTATCCAAAGTTGAAAGAGAATATTAATAAACAGGGAAAGCATGTATGTACAAGCATGTATGATGATTGTAAATCTCACTAATATGTAAGGAAACAGGATCAGAATAGTTAAGTAATGTGTCCAAGAAAATACAACCAGATTTTCTGGTTGTATACCAGAGCCAAAAGGTACAGCTGGGATCCAGATCTTGGAAGAAAGAATAAATTATGTTACACTCCCAGTTCACAGGTGGCCATATAGTGTCATGGACCTGGATGTTTGTGGCTGCCCTTGCAAAGTGCTGCAGCAGCTCAGATTTCCCTGCCTTTGCTGACCAGGCTGTGGCTGGGTCTAGCCTTTGGGTGGCTGAGAGGAGATAAGGCAGTATTTCCTTTCAGGAGGTGATGCAAAGAAAGGACAGTTTGTGAAATTACCTTACAACCCTTTTTATTGAAACCTTCCCATTGAGTGCCCCAAGATATAAATATTTGAGGATGTTCTACATAGCACACTGCTGCTAAGGGTCAAAGACTGGGGGGGAAAAAAATCCTCAAGTGTCCAGGAAAATGGCTAAATCAATTATGTCACATGCATTCAGTGGATTACTATATTGAAAGGATGAGGTAAATCCATACATGCTGATGTAGAAAGATACATTGTTAAGTGGGATTAACAAGCTGCAAAGCAGTATGAATAATGCCATCCCATTTTTGCATGTTTGAATTACATGTAGAAAAAATTGTGGAGGCATATGCCCCAAAGTGATGGCATGGTTATATCTGCAGGACAAGCTAATAATCATAATAGTAGGAGTGACTAGCACATGCCTAGTGCTTAGTGCCTGGGGCAGCTCCAAGCACTGTGCTCACAGAAGTCCTCTGGGCTAAGACTGAGGCTGTCTCCATTTACACTTGAGGGCAGGGCACAGAGAAGTGGGGATACTTGCCCAAGGTCACACAGGGGACAAAAAGTAGAGTTGGGATTTGATTCCAGACATGTGGCTCTGGGGAACACATTCTAAAGTGCCTTTGCATTCTGGATAGTTTATTTCTACAGTGTCTAAATTCTAGATAGTAAATGTGTTACTTTTATAATCAGGAAAAAACCATAAAGCAGAGCATTTTGTGGGAGAGAGCAGTACTCACAGGCTGATCGAAAAGGAATGCTGATCTTGCCCTGGATGCTGCTGATGGCGACAATGTGGCCTTGCCTCCTCTTGATCATGGAGGGCAGGAGTGCTGAGGACAGAGGCAGAGGCTTAGACAAGCACCCTCCTTCCAGTCATTGCATGTGATGCTGATGGAAGGCAACCATGCTTTTGATATTTAGTCAGAGTAAGGGAGAACGGTGAAAACCCCTTAGGGTAGAGGACTATGTTGGAACTCCTAGCCTCCTATGCTCAACGGAGTGCCAGCAGGCTGGCAGGAGAGAGGAGAGAGGCAAGGAAACAGGGACGGAGGTCACTGCAAATGGTTAGCTCAGTTCCCTTTTCCTGCTGGAGCCTCTCCCCTGGACTGAAATCCGTGGTGGGACATAAAAATATCCCCACCGTGTAGGGGTTTGCAGACACCATGAAAAAGACATGTAGGTAATGCTGCACAAATGTGGCCATCACTAAAGAGAACATCTTCATTGGAAGCTCTAAAGCAAATACCCAAACTGTGACAATAACACCTAACACCCACTCCAGGGCAACAGAGAGGATGGAGACGGGGAACGTTTAGCTGGAAAGGATCCGAGTGAAGTAAAAAGAATGCCAACATATCACTTATCACTGCTCTTTTCTCAAGACTGTTACCTTTCGTTAGAGCAACTGGGCCAAAGTAGTTTGTCTCCATGACCCTCTTGTCCACATCCACTGTGGTGTCCATGATGGTACCACGGTAGCTGATCCCAGCATTGTTGACAAGTATGTCCACATAGCCAAAGCACTGCAGGATCTCAGCTGCTGCTGCAACTACGGCCCCAGGGTCTGTGAGGTCGAAGGTCACCAAGTAAGGCTTGTGTGTCTGCACCTGGTCAAATACAACAGACACCAAATTCACTTTCTGAGTGGCAGGCCATCCGAGCTATGTGTCCCACAGATCACTTAGGCTCAAAACAATAACATAACTTTATACTTTAAGGAACTAGAAAAAGAAGAGCAAACTAAACCCAAAACCAGGAGGGGAAGGAAATATTATAGTAAAGATTAGAACAGAGACAAACAAACAGAATACAGAAAAACAATAAAAATCAATGAAACCACAAGTTGGTTCTTTGAAAAGATCAACGAAGTTGAGACAGCATTAACTAGATGGACAAGGAAAAATCAGAAGACACAAATAACTAAAATCAGAAATGAAAGTGGGACCACCAACTTTACAGAAATGATAACACATGATAAAAAAGATTATAAAGATTATAAAAAATGATATAAAAGAATATTATGAACAATTATTTGCCAACAAGTTAGAAAAACTAGAATAAATGGATAAATTCCTTAAAAAACACAAATAACCTAAACTGACTCAAAAAGAAATAAAAAAATCTCAGGAGACTTATAACAGATAAAGAGATTGGATCAGCAATCAAAAACCTCCCAACAAAGAGAAGTCCTGGACCGGATGGCTTCACTGGTGAATTCTGCCAAACATTTAAAGGAGAATTAACACCAGTTCTTCTTGTACTCTTCTAGAAAACTGAACAGGAGAAAACACCTCCTAATTCAGTCTGAGGCCAACATTACTTTGATACTAAAGCCAGATTAAAGATATCACAAGAAAATTATAGAGCAATATCTCTTAAGAATATAGATGCAAAAATCTTCAACAAAATACCAGCAAATTGAATTTAACAGCATATTAAAAGGATTATTCACCACGACCAGGTGGGATTTAGCCTAGGAATTCAAGCAAGGTTGGTTCAACATAGGAAAATCAATCATGGCCAGGTACAGTTGGCTCATGCCTGTTATCCCCAGCACTTTGGGTGGCTGAGGAGGGAGGCTCACTTGAGCCCAGGAGTTCGAGGCCAGCCTGGGCAACATGGCAAGACCTTGTCTCTTTAAATTAAAAAAAAGAAAAATGGCCGGGGGTGGTGGCTCATGCCTATAATCCTAGCACTTTGGGAGGCTGAGGCGGGTGGATCACCTAAGGTCGGGAGTTCGAGACCAGCCTGACCAACATGGAGAAACCCCGTCTCTACTAAAAATACAAAATTAGCTGGGCATGGAGGCATATGCCTGCAATCCCAGCTACTCGGGAGGCTGAGGCAGGAGGATCACTTGAACCTGAGGGGCGGAGGTTGTGGTGAGCTGAGATCGTGCCACTGCACTCCAGCCTGGGCAATAAGAACAAAAACTCCTTCTCAAAAAAAGAAAGAAAAAAAAAGAAAATTGAACGTTATACCACATTAATAGAATGAAGAAAAAAAAAACCCACTTGATCATCTCAATTGATGCAGAGAAGAGATCTGACAAAATTTAACACCCTTTCATGGTAAACATACTCAATAAACTAGGAATAGACCAGAAATTCCTCAACACAGCACAGGGTGTTTGTGAAAAACCCACAGATAACATACTCAGTGGAAAAAAATGGAAAGCCTTCCTCTAAGATCAGGAACAAGATAGGATGCCTGCTTTCGCAACGGCTACTCAACACTGTACTGGAAGTGCTAACCAGAACAATTAGACAAGAAAAAAATGACTCAATTTGGAAAGGAAAAAGTAAAACTATCTCTGTTTGCAGATGGTATGATTCTATATATAGAAAATTCCAATACATCCACAAAAAGCTAGTAAGAGTTAATTAACAAATCGAGCAAAGTGGCAAGGTACAAGAGCAACATCCAAAAATCAGCAGTGTTTCTATATACAAACAATGAATAATCTGAAAAGGGAATCAGGAAAGCAATTCTATTTACAGTAGCAGTTTAAAAAATTAAATATGCTATGGTTTGAATGTGTCTCTCAAAACCCGTGTGTTAGAAACTTAATCCCCAGTGCAACAGTGTTGAGAGCTGGGAACTTCATGAATGGATTAATGCTGTTATTGTGGGAGCTTCCTTCTCAAAGGATAAATTCAGCCCTTTTCCCTCTTTCTCGCCCGCATGGTGCCTTCCTACATGTTATGATGTGGCAAGAAGGCCCCCGCCAGACACCAGACCCTTGCCAGATGACGGCTCCTCAAACTTGGATTTCTCTGCCTCCAGACTTTGAAAAGTAGATTTCTTTAAAACTTACTCAGTCTGGCTAGGCGCAGTGGCTCACACCTATAATCCTGGCACTCTGGGAGGGCAAAGTGGGCAGATCAGTTGAGGCCTGGAGTTCGAGACCAGCCTGGGTAACATAGCAGGACCCTGTCCCTACAAAAAATGAAAAAATTAACCCTGTACAGTGGCGTGTGCCTGTAGTCCCAGCTACTCAGGAGGCTGAGGCAGAGGATTGCTTGAGTCTGGGATTTTCAGGCTGCAGTGAGCCATGATTGCACTCGTGAACTCTAGCCTAGAGGACAGAGCAAGACTATGTCTCTAAAAATAATAATAAAATAAAAATAAAAACCACCCAGTCTCTGCTATTGTTACAGCAACATAAAACAGACTAAGATAAACACTTGGCAATAATCTAAGGAGGTGAAAGACTGTACACTGAAGACTGTAAAACACTGCTGACAGAAATTAAAGAAGACATAAGTTCACAGAAAGACATCCTACATTCATGGATTGGAAGACCGTGTTAATGTGAGAGTACTACCCAAAGTGTGATTCCTACCCAAAGTGTGATTCCTGTCAAAATCCCACTGGCAGTTTTTGCAGAAATAGAAAAAAATAATCCTAAAATTCATATGGGATGGCAATGGGCCCTGAATAGCCAAAACACTCCTGAAAAAGGACAGTTGGAGGACTCACACTTCCTCACTCCAAAACTTGTACAAAGCTACAGCAATGAAAACAGTATGGGTCCTTCCCCTCCTCCTTCCCCTTGCCTCCCCCTTCCTACCCTCATGCTCCATCCCTCCCCCTAAGGGGGAGAAAAACCCATATGGAACTGACATAAGACAGACATATAGACTGACTGAATAGAACAAGGAACCGAGAAATATACACTTCAAATATGTAATCAATTGATTTTTGTAAGGATGCCCATTCAATGAGGAAAGACGGTCTTCAACAAATGGTGCTGGGAAAAGGAGATAACCACATGCAAAAGAATGAAATTGGACTCTTATCTAATACCATTTATAAAAATTAACTCAAATGGATCAGTCACCTAAATGTAAGATTTAAAACTATAAAACTTGGCTGGACACGGTGGCTCATGCCTGCAATCTCAGCACTGTGGGAGGGTGAGGCAGGCGGATTATGAGGTCAAGAGATTGAGACCATCCTGGCCAACATAGTGAAACCCCATCTCTACTGAAAATACAAAAATTAGCTGGGTGTGGTGGTGCACGCCTGTAGTCCCAGCTATTTGGGAGGCTGAGGCAGGAGAATCACTTGAACCCAGGGGGCAGAGATTGCAGTGAGCTGAGATTGGGACACTGTACTCCAGCCTGGGTGACAGAGCAAGACTCTGTCTCCAAAAAAACCTTTTAGAGTTATCACCATCCCCTACTCCCACCCAATGAGTAGAGCTTAGCCAGGTAAAAGGGAAGGGAGAAAAGAGAACTTTCTAAACTCATAGTGCTAGCCAGTAGGGGCACCGGGATGTAAACCACTGGACAGTTCTCCCTCCCGATGCAGCGGGCCCGATTCGCTATGGAGACCTGCTGTCTTCCCTGGGACAATGTGACACATGGATGTCCTGTAACTCAGCAGTCCAGGAGTGGGCCTCTATCTCCTCAGTGCCTACAGAAGATGGCCTGCACTCCTTCCCCATGGAAAGCATGCCCGTGGCTCACCTTGGTGGCATGAGAAGCGGTGAGTTCTCTGATGAGCTCTTCGAGGGCCCCACCATTCCGGCCACAGAGCACCAGCTTAGCACCAGCAGCATAGAAGACTTTGGCACATTCTAAGGGAAGAGAAAAGAGCCCTGACAGCCATTCTTCCCCAGCGCCGTTCAGTGTAAATTCACCCAGTGTTGCTGTTTGCTGCTTCACACCCTTGACATGTCTGTGTTGGCCCCTGCTTGTGGTCCAGCATGAAGCTGGGAGCTAGGGTCCAGTGCAGGGCTCACACCCAGTGCTACAGACATCCACAGGGCAAAAAGAAAGGCAGGCCGAGGTGGACACATGTGTTAAGTATCATGCTCAGAACGCCCCATGATACTCCTGTTCACCTGGATCAGCTGTGAGCATCACCTATCTTCACAGCTGAGGGAGCTCAGCAAGGTCACTCAGGCAGAGGCTTGTCCTGATTGATAAGGACAGTCAGGGCCAGCTATTATGGTGCTGTGCCCTGCCAAGGCTGTGTGGTGGCACTACCCAGGCACAGCTCTCCTGGAACTACTCACATAGTCCTGTAGAAAAGCTGGGGCAGAGGACCGAGGCCCTTCCCAGGTCTGATGGGCTGTTTCCGAGGGAGTGCTTGAGGCAGAGGGAGCAGACTGCCTGAGGGGCCACAGGCAGATGGAGCTGGGACAGAAGGTGGAGGGTCTAATAGCCTCACTGGCTGGGGAGGGGTCAAGGCAGTGCATGCAAGTACCTGCCACACGCAGGACTATTAAGGATGCCTGCCTTTGAAAAGGCTCAGTCCTGCTGGGCGGGAGGGAGTGGGGACACTGGAGGAAAGCAGACTCCACCAAGCCCGCTGCACTATTTCAGGTGACAACCTGTGAGGACTTCAACTAAGACCACAGCAGGGACAGTCCAAAGCTAGCCAGACACATGGTCTATATCCTTTTGGTGGCAAGAAACAGAAACTAAACTCACACTGGGGCAAAGCAAAAAGAGAATTTGCCAGAGGGATTGTGGGGAAGTTCAAGAATGGAGAGGAGAAGCCGGATGGCCGAAAGCTAGGAAGGACCCAAGCGCTGGCTGCCCGGGTGCTCTCACACGTGGGCAGGCTCCAGAGCTCACATGCACGGTTTTGTTTTGTCTCTTCCCAGCTCCGATCAAATCCCAGGGAATGCCATGATCAGCTTTGAGTGGGGGGCCCAGCAAGGGTCACTGGTAATTCTCCTGTGGCTAAGCAGGAGAGCCTGACAAAAAATCCCCTGGACACAGGAGGGTAAACCACCAGAACTGGGGGTGGGGGACTAGTCTGTGGGGAATCAGAAAGGAAACGGAGTGATGGCAGGAGGGGAGGCAGAGAGCGTGGTGGTGTTGCTTCTTGCTTACCCTCCCCTGCAACATATCCTATATAAATGTTCAGTGCCCTGAAAACGTCCATACAGCTTATGAAAAGCAGGACAGCCCAGCAGCCAAGAGAATGGACTTGAGCTAGACTTCCAACTCCGGTTAGAACTTCTTTGTTTCTGACTTTCCTCTTATTTAGGACGCTTTTTATCTATCAAGCACAGTAGTAAGAGATGACCTACCTTAACTCATTCAGCCCCTGGGGGTGTGACTGTGAGACTGAATGAGTTAAGGCAGGAATCTCTTACCACAGTGTTAGATAAACAGCATCTGCAGTGTCAATTGTCATTTTTGTATTTCTATTTATTAAAATTTTTTTTTTTTTTTTTTTTTTTTTTTAGAGACAGGGTCTTACTCTGTTGCTCAGGCTGGAGTGCAGTGGCACAATGGTAGTTTACCGCAGCCTCAAACTCCTGTCCTCACCTGAGGCGTCTCCCTCAAGTGCTCACCAGCAGATCTGCACAGGACGCCTTGGCCCCTGGCTGACCCTGACCTGACACCAGTGAGCCACTGACTTGGTTCTAGATGGAACCTTAAGAGGTCAAGGTGATGAGGTGGCGCCCTGGCTCCTGGTTCATGGAAGGGAATGGCCTTTGCAGGCTAGTTCCATCTCTAGGAGCCATGTGGTGAGAGGCCAATGCTGCAGGCTTGGAGGATCAGGCCTGCCATCTCCTCCGCTGGAAAGGAAAGGTCAGAGAGGCAGGCGGTGTGTACTGGTCTGAACAGGCCTGCCCTTAGAGAAGTGTCAAATTTCCTTAAAGCTTGATGGGTTCCAAACGGGAGGAGAAGAAACTCCAGCATCCTTCAGGACCAGGGGTCCTGAGAGATCTGAGGGAAGGCTCCCTGATGTCTGTCTCATGGTGTGAAGCCTCCCTGTGCTCCACAGCTTCTTGTTCAGCTCCCTACACAGCATTTGCTCACCCCACGGGCGCCTCTCCACACACCCGACAGTCTTTGGGAAAGAGGTGTTAAGCAGACTCAATCTAGACACACCATCTTCTTTGAAGGAGATGAGGTTGGTGTGTTCCTTGGCTCATCCCGACAAAGGGTGGAAGCCCAGAGACAGCACCCACCCTGGGTAGTGAGGCCTGGTCCCAGCGCCCCAACCCTGCCTGCCCTGGTCCTCTTCTCAGCAGAGCAGCAAAGCCTCTACAGGAATGAGGCGGGTGGTGGCTGCACTCCAAGCCAGATGCCAGCATTCCTGAGGCTAGAACTGTTCATCCGGTTTATAAATCATTCCCAAAGGCTAGGAACCTTGGGTCCTGCTGGCTGCCTCACCCCATTTTGTCTTGTCCTGACCAACACATAGGACATTTGTGAGGTGCCACCAAAGGGTGCAGACACAGAACCCTGCAAAGGTGGGAGTCCCGCTGGAGTCTAAACGCCTTTGGGGAAATGACTGCCTCAATTCTGTTTGACTTTTGCTTCCGAGCAAAGCTAAAAAGAGAGGAAATGAAAGTTTGTGTAGGGAGTGACAGAAATGAAAACAACAGATTGGAAGGATTCCATTTTCATTTATTGAAAAGCTGATCCTGGAAGGTTGGAGGGTCCAAGGAAAACAACTCCAAGGTACATACGTGAAGGGCTGCAGATGACTGTCCAGTGCCGCTGGCACGCCTAGCTGGAAATCAAGACAGCTGTGCACAGCCCTGGGGCTAAAGCTGGAGGAAGCAGATATCCAGAATGTTCTGTTCCTTTAGTCAGTGGTCCCACACTATTCTACAAGGACAAGCTCAAGAGGCTTAAATACACAAAACAAGAGACAAGATAGGAGAAATACGAAAAACTGAAGACTCATTGCATAACTCCAAACCTTCCGGGTAGCTGACACGGCAGGCAGAGCCACTGAGGACAACATAGCTCTGCCTCCTCACAGAAGCAAGGCAACAGCAGCACGTCCTCAGTGGCATCAACAGTGGCTGTACTTGAATGGCCAGTTAAGAATCTGCTCTACTTTATCTGAATGGAGGAACTCCTGTTCCCAAAAAGTAAAATGGGGCAGAATATAAGCAGTGACTGGAATCCAGGAAGGGCCTGACATCTTATGATACACAGACAGGTCTGGTGACCTCCGTGACATTTTCTGTTCCCTTCATAGTCTTGGTGTCAGGAGAGGAGATGCAGAATGAAGATGACAGCTTGTTTCTCAAACATCCACGGATGGAAGCACCTGCGACCCAGAGCTCCACCTCTGCCAGTCCTCAAATGCTCTTCAAGGACTTTCACAAAATGCTTCTCTTCGAGCTCAAGAGAAGTGGCTGCTGACCACCCTATATATAGCAACTGAGTAAGGTCAGAGGACTGACGATGGCAAAGGGCCTGCAGACAGCTGTCCCTGCAAAGGTCTGGCTATCCAATGACAGACACGGTATTTATCCCTGCAGACCTCACCTAACATCCACAGTGGTGCATAAATGAATCCATACTCCCTAAAGCCTTCCCAGGCCACCCTTGGCCAACTGCAAGCCACTTCCACCACAAAGACCCATCTGCTTCTCTGTGTTCATGCAACACCCAACTGTTTATAAGTCCCTGCGGGACCGTGCTTCTCCCACCTCTGGGCCTGTCTGGAATGTTCTGTCTACCAGCCCACCTATTCCTTTTACCTGGCCATCTCCCCTGCTGCAGCTTTGAGACTTGAGTTCTAGAGACAGAGAGATGTGGGTTTGACTCTTGGTTTTGTACTTTCTGGCTGGAAGTCCTAGTCATTCTTTCTCTGAATCTTAGCTGTGAGCAGTCAGTAAGATAATGCATGTAAAAATGCTTAGCACAAGCCAGCACATATACACGTGCCTTGTTGCCACCGGGCTGGTTTGGGAGCATATGTTACTGCAGTGGCAATATACTGAGATAAGTCCTTGCCTTTCTCCTTACAGCAGTCAACTATGACCTCCTTCAAGGAAGGCACCCTGTCTTTCATCTGTTTGTTCTAGAACCTGACCCAGAGCCTCCCACTTAGCAGGCGCTCCATCAGCTCCAGCTGAGCTATCACCAACCAGAAGACGTAGCAGCAGGTGGGTCACCACAATTCAGGGAACTCCTCAGCCTTCTTCCATGGAACTCAGCATGAGCGTGGATGGTAGATGGTATGGTGTGTGCATGTGCAACGTGCTAAGTCAATATACACGTGTGGCAAGAAAACAACGGAGCCCTGTAACTCAGAGGCTTCCAGAAATGGGAGAAGGGGGAACCCAGGTTTTGACATTCCAGGCCAGGGTCCTGGTACACCATTCCTGAGACTTAGAAGCTCATGGTGTTCACTGGGTTGGAATGGACCTAGACTGGAGACCCTGGAACAGCTGAGGCACCATTTATCCTGTCTTTGACCTTGCCAAGACCATGCTGAGGGGACAGCTGGTGGCCTGGCCTGGGAAGGCAAGGCCCAGAGAAAGCGTGCACCAAAGCTGTGAACCAGAGGTCCCAGCTGAATCTAGGAAAGGACATGTTTCATTTGGTCCTCATAGAGGTAAAAACACATTTTAAGTTAGCTGTCCGTATTTGGAAATTGGGAGATTTCACATAAAATTCCTACCTCAGCAAGCAGCTGGGGCTGAGCAGGGCTGCCCTGTGAGGGGCAGGCATCCCATCCCACCCCACCCCACCCCACCCCACCCCACCCCACCCCACCCCTGGGGCCAGGCTGCTTCTCCCGCGCTTGCCTCCCACCCTGATGCTGAGTCATTTCTCACTGTGCTTTGGCTCCTGCTTTTCCCACTTGGACCAAGGACAGTGCCATCCAGCCCGCTTCCCTCATTCTGGACTTCTGCTGCCGCTTTGGGCATTTGTGCTGGTGGTCCCTGTGCAGCTGGGCTGCTCCCCATCGCTGGCTGACTTCCCCCCACCCCCTGGCAGCACTGCCTCCAGCACCCACCTTTGCCCAGCCCGGAGGTGGCGCCTGTGATCACCACCACAGCATTCCGCAGGTAGGCCTTCCCGCGCACCCACTGCAGCAGCCGGAAGAGGCCGAAGACGCCCAGGCAGCCGAACAGCAGGGGCAGGATGGCTGTGGAGGTGATGAAGTCCATGGCCCTCGCCTTTGGCAGATTCTTCCTGGAAGAACCAAAACCAAACACACCAGTGACAAAGTAGCAGAGCTCAGGGGACTTTCCTAGGCTCTTCCTCTCATCTGATACGAATCCTAGATCTCCCTCTGTGGACCCCAGAAAGTACTGACCCAGGCCCTGCCCCCTCGGCTGACTGTTGAGCATTGTGGAACTTTCTCCCTCTTACTCAGTACTGACATGAGCGGACAGAAAAGCCACAGGCCTCATGCTGCCCCTCAGGGAACAAGCGGAGAATGCCATTCAGCCTAGGATGTAATCACCCGCAGTGTCACAGGAGGAGGTGGCGTGTCGGTGTCACCTGCCTCTCCTTCGGAAACCTGTGCTGGCCTTACCTCAAGTAACGCCTGTTTTCATTTTCACTCCCTGAATACTTGTGAAACTAGAAAGGGGTTTTTTTGAGGAAGGGAAAAAGGAAATCGTACCAATTCTTATCCTCTTCAGAGCAGACACTCAGAGGATGGACGTTTCTGGGTGGAGCAGCCCCTAGATTGTTACAGTGAGGGCCACAGATGGACTTCTGACCACAGGCCTCGCAGACACCCAAAGGGGATTCAGTGCAGGGCCCTGCCCCAGGCACCAGCGTGGGCTCCGGCTGGTGAGCGTGTTGCCCTGCTGTGCCTGTGGCATGTTCCTGCCCAGCATTCCCCAGTGAGCCGTGAAATCCGCAGGCTGTGCGAGTGTCTGTGCGACAGTGTGCAGTTGATTCTTGGGAAATGTGTGTTTTTCCCCACCTGCCCTTATTTCCCCTGAACCTCCCCCATTCTTCCACATTCACCTGTCCCCCTGTGCCCAAAGCAGGAGATAAGAGGGGGACACAGGGTGAAAGGAAGGCCGAGGAGGAGCTGGTGAGGACCGCGGTGAGCACCATGTGCTGTCGCTGGGAAGCAATGCCCTGGAAGGCCACTGGATGAGCGAGCCAGCGTCTATGAGACAAAAGGCCCCCGACAGTCCACCTCCAGGGCTGTGGTTTTACAAGCACAGAATCCCTTCTCAGGAAGGAAGAGGCTGGAATCCAAGAAGAGAGTTCTGGCAAACCAGCCTGCAGCTCTAAATTATTCATCAGCTTGGAGCAATGATGTAAAACCCTCACTCACCTGCTTAATATCCCATCTCAAGCCCACACATTAAAAAAAAAAAAAAATTCTGCTTCCTTTCCTAAGAGGACATCACCTCTGGATGCCAGAGTGAGGCCAGGAACACTGTGGACTCCCAACACGCATCCATCTATGCACCAAGTGCTTGGATCCTGAAGTTCATGTTCAGGGTGGCTGCCCTGATCTATACTAAACCGCCCCTACAAGAGGATTCTACTGCAACTGGAACTGTCAAGTCAACTAGTTTAGCATTTACTTTTTCACCTGCTTTTCCAGATACGCCTGAATTCTTAACCACCGTAAAAAACAGCCACATTCTCAGACTGTAAAAATGACAGTTTCCCACCAACCGCCACTCAATCCACTTCTGAAAACACCTCGGCTACTATCTGCTGTGTGGATAAAGCTCCCTCTTGCCCTACACTATGCCAAGCCTCCGCTGGATGAACTGGGGATTAAAGTGGTATCTAAAGCACCAAGCTCTTCACCCAGGCACTACTGGTAGCATCCCTGCCCCAAGAGGAAGCTCTGGCCAGGTGTTCTTGCCTGCAGGCTATGCTGGGTCCCAAGGACCCTTTGTCTGGAATCTGAGATGTGCTCAGGAAAGGTGTAGGGTAGGCACTGAGGCCTGTCCTACTCCAGGGTTCTGTGGGTGCTGTCTGAAGTCCTGCACAGGACCAAGATCCTGAAAACAGGGAATGTGGGAGGGTTTCCCAGGGGAAGGAGGGATACACAGTGGGAGGCAGGAATGGTTGCCAGTTTGTTGATATAGCTTTACCAGAAAATTATAGCAATTGACAAAAGGCAAGAGAAGGCTCGAGGTAAGAGTAGCTTAAAACTTACATATAATAAGCTGGTTGAGGGCTGGGGGCTTAGGAAGAGTTAACTCGGCTGGATGGCTATTTGGTAAAAGTTTTTTTCCCACTGCAGTCACAGGTCTTTGTACCAGGTAGGTCTCAGGGTAGGACCACCCTGCCTTGTCCAGAATGGCCCAGGGCACAGCCACTGCCCAGGATGAGCTTGAGGTACAAAAGGGGTGGGGGCCTCAGCTCAGGGAAGGAGAGTAGGCCTCAGCCTCTGGGGCCGGGACCCAGAGCCCCACTAGGCGTGTTGGGTGGAAACCCCTCTGAACACTCCGCCATGGAGGCTCACTGGAGGCCAGAGCCTGTGAAGTCCGCCCCATTTCAAACCGACACCCTGGGGCTGAGGCAGAACGCCACTGAGGTCATGGGGGTCAAGAGCCAAGTATGCAGTCTGTCGCTTCCCAAAACCCAGAGGCCACCTGAAAAACACTAACTGCAGCACAACAGTGGCAGTGCAGGGGTCATGAGGATGAGCCCTCAAGCCAGCCTGGCTTGGGTGACACCCTGGCCCAGTCACTTGGCAGCCTGGCAAAGGGGCCTCACTGCCCTGGGCCTCAGTGTCCTCGCCTCTGAGCTGAAGTTATGAGACGACCTCCCTCCTGGGTTTATTACGATGTTGGATGAATTCATCTGTGTGCACAGAGGGAACACAGCTGCCACCAGCATCATCATGATCACGACTACCTCAAAGTTCCTGGACCAGGACCTCCCCTCCCAGCAATCAGGCTCCCAAGGCTGTCTGAAGGGACCCCTGGCTCATAAAGGAAGCTCATTAAATGTATTAAGTGTCCAATGTTGTTTAACTTCTGTATCTTCATCAACCCTTCAGTTTAATCAAATTAACAAATAGGAAAAAGCTCCATCCACAACATTGGCAGAAGTCAGAAGTCAGGCTCTCATGTCCCAAGTTTTGTGTTAGAAAATGTGGTTATCAAGGCCAGCAAAGCAGGAGAGAGCAGACAGGTACCAAAATGTCCCTCAACCCCGTTTTCACACCCAGGGAGGAGTAGGATGAAAATAAGCCAGCCCAGCAAGGCTCCCCAGTGGAAGATGATTAAAGCTCCCAACAAATTGTACTTTCATGCAACCTAATTAAAACTCAAGCCAGCAATCTATGACATGAAGAAAAGAGAAAACTACACACCGTCTTGTACACTTCTGGGATTCCTTGAGCACCTGACACATCATAGGCCAGCCTTGGTCTCCTGGCCCTGGGGACCACTTTGCCTGAGGCAAACATGGCGCCGGGTGAATGGGATCCATCCTTGGCCCGGGCCGCTTTCTGTGGGGAGAGCGCACGTCTGCATTCAGTCTGGTAGGTTGCTATTGAATCAGAATGCAAAGTAAATTAAAAGCCAGTACCAAGGCCAAACGCAGTGCCTCGCGCCTGTAATTCCAGCACTTTGGGAGGCTGAGGTAGGGGGATCGCTTGAGCCCGGGAATTCAAGATCAGCCTGGGCAACATGGTGAAATCCCATCTCTGCAAAACATACAAGAACTAACCAGGTATGGCAGTACACGTCTGTAGTCCCAGCTTCTTGGGAGGCTGAGGTGGGAGGATTGCTTGAGCCTAGGAGGTTGAGGCTGCAGTGAGCCAAGATCGCACCACTGCACTCCAGTCTGGGTGACAGAGTGAGTCCCTGTCTCAAAAACAAACAAAAAACAAAATCCAGTGCCAACTCTCCCCTGCTAACAAAGAATGACCATGGTGGGAAAAGATACCCCAGAGCGAGCCGTTTATCTGAGAATCAGCTTCAATTCCAGCATAACTTTCCTGACCGGATGCAGTTGTTCATACTGATAATCCTGACTCTTTCCAGAGTTCTTCAAATTCTGAAAGCCCTCCTAACTGTTCTTCCACTCTGCAGGGCATGTGGCCACACTGCTGGGCCTGCTTGGGCTCTTAGAGACAGCTGCGCCAACACTTTCCTAGCTTGTCTTTGGAAGTGGGATGGCCATGAGAGCTAGCCACGGAAAGCCCCACCACCTCGCCGTGGTGTCTAGGCCTTTCTACCAGCTAAAAGGACAGCTTCACAGTGGAAGAAAGGAACAGTGTTCTAGCTGGCCACATTTCCAGATTAGGACATACATCTACATAAAACAAGGTCAAAGGGAGGCCTGTTTTATTTGAAAATGGCCTACAAGAAGGATTTATATATATGTACAAACTTTAATATATTTATCAATCATGGATTTTATACCAAAATCCTTATTAACTGCTAGTTTCAGATAGATAGTCGGATCATGGACTGAAAAGGCAAGACTGACGGTATAAAAAGGGACTGGGAAACAATATCTGGCTCACGATTTTCAGCATTTGGAGATCAGCTTGTAGAGAGAAGGGGCAGAGTCTGTCCCGCACCACTGTGAGCCATGGCGGAAAGTAGGACAGAGACGTGGGGAGAGAGAGTGAGGCCAGAAAAAGAAGGTGAGAGCCCCTCAAATAGAAACCATAGTGCACACGGCATCTGGAATCAGAGGGCACCACCGACACATGGAATGTGCACACTCACAGTCACACTCTTAGTCCTTGGGCAAGAGACCTGAAGCATGGCCTCGCACTGATGATGAGAGTCACGAACTGGAGTGAGGAAGGGAGAGAGCTCAGGGGCTCACATATTAATGCTGTCTGCTTGTATTTTCATCCCTTGCCAGATCCATGAGCTCTAGACCCAGGTTAAAAGAGTGCAAAAGGGCCGGGCGTGGTGGCTCACGCCTGTAATCCCAGCACTTTGGGAGGCCGAGGCGGGCAGATCACGAGGTCAGGAGATCGAGACCATCCTGGCAAACACAGTGAAACCTCGTCTCTATTAAAAATACAAAAAATTAGCTGGACGTGGTGGCGGGCGCCTGTAGTCCCAGCTACTCAGGAGGCTGAGGCAGGAGAATGGCGTGAACCCGGGAGGCAGAGCTTGCAGTGAGCCGTGATCGCGCTACTGCACTCCAGGATGGGCAACAGAGTGAGACTCCGTCTCAAAAAAAAAAAAGAGTGCAAAGGTAGCAAAGTCCCTCTAAGGATGAGTGTTCCT